TTAAGCTGGGATTTGGTTTTAATCTCACCTTGAGTTCTGAGTCATCTCCAAAGCTTTAGTAAATAATTCATACGTGTTCACACATGCAGAGCGTCTGACACAGAGAGCCAGCACTCCGAATGCAGCATGGCAGAAAGCTGCTCAGATCACAGCTCGCGATGTTAGGGGCTTATCACCCCACTAATTACTCTTGTGCCAAAGATGATGGATTTATTTGGACCATGATATAAACCTCCCAACACTAAAAAAAATATTGCCAGCAATGAAATAGGAAAAAAATAATTCAGTAGAAAATCTATTTTTTAAACTTGGCATTTGCTGTAATAGAATGAAAATTTTAACTTTCAGTTTATTCCTGGGTTATTTTTATTTCCCCATTTTCTATTATTTCAGAGTGCATACACGAAGAGAATCCTTCTATAGAGAAGCTCGTGGTGTGTTAGGTTCCAAATTATACATTTTGTGCAATTTATTTATGTATAGAGGATGCTTTTCTACTGATGTGTTTCTATACATGTGTTATCATATTTTGCCAAATAATTAGAGCTTTTTTTTTTTTTTTTTTTTTTTTTTTTTGCTGATTCAAATACACTTAAAAGGAGCAATACACATTGTAGCTGTCACAGCACATAAAATACCCCAATGAAACCTTAAGTGACACCTTCAGCTCTGTGGCGGTCATCATTCACACGTTCTGCTGTTATTAAATGACTATATGACTCTATGAAAAAAGATGGCTTGGCTTCTATCAGCTGTGACAGAGTTTACAACATTTGTTAAAGCAAATGGTGATGCAAAAAAAAAAATTTACGATGGTAAAATGTTTACTAAGCACCCCGAATTTTGTGGGGTGAAATATTTCCTAGAGCACGCAAAACCTTTGGTTTTCTGAGACCACTTACAGAAAGAGGTAAAAAAAAAAAAAAAAGTCAATAAACCACTCTGTTCTCCGTTGACATGTTTGCCTCCCACTGAACCAAACACTACGTTTTAAACTCCCGGTAGAAAGTTTCAGTCCTGTTCTGGACACTTTTAAACTCCCCCAGCAACAAAGGCGTTCGACCGCCACACAGTAGCCGCTTAAACAAATCCCCCCCCCCCCCCCGGCAGTTTTTTATCATGTAAATTTTAGTGTCACTGTGGGGGAAGCCTGCGAGTGAAAGTTGTAAACCTTTCCTTCAGCTCTTGGTGAGGCCGGAGAGGGAAAGTGTTCGCTGTCGCCAAAATGAGCGCTCTGGGTGGGAAGGAATCCCTCGCTTCCCTTTCCCGCTGCAGGACTTGACGAACTCCGAGCACAGCCCTGCGGACCAAGTAGTGCCGCCAGCTGAGTTCCGGCAGCGTGCTCGCCTTTTGCTGATCCCCAGTAAGGAGGGCGCACTGGTTTCGTTTGTTGCAAGAGCAGGTCTAGGGGTGCCCGCGGCCGGCGGGTTTTGAGGCTTTCGTTGCGGGACCCTTGTCGGGCTTCGAACTTAGTAACTCTTCTGAGCAGCACGCAAGGTGCGGACCTTGAAAGCTAAGCCTGTGCGTCGCTCTAACTGCAGCATTTCCCTGACTTCTCCCAGGCGGACAACCCTACACCTCTTGCAGCGTTGGGGGCTTTAAGCAGGAGCCTGACTCTAAGGCGTGCCCTTTAGCCCTCCAGAAGACAGGTGGCCCCGGTGGCCCTGGTTCAAGGTCTCGGCCACACTCTCCTGACACACCCTGTCTCTGTGGCTCCCTGAGGATGCTTGGCTGCGGCCGCAGGAGCACTAGATCTGCAGTCAGCTTCTTAGCCAACCTGTTAGAGGGGAGCCTCGCTCCCGCTGCACACCCGAGCCTGGACACCCACGGTCACTTAGGAAGCCTTGGCCCGGACAGGGTAGAGTAGGCTGCAGGGTCAATCTAGCTTCAACCAGGAGGAAGGGCCGGGTGCTAGGGAACATTCAGGGAGTTGACAGCTGAAATGGGACTTCGTTGGAATTTGTTTTAAAAAGAAGAGCACAGAGGTTTTTTTTATCCCCCCCCCCCAATCTCCGGAACCCCACTCCCCCTCACTCACCCCAACACATGGGGAATCCTGAGCTTTTCCCTGCTGCCACGATCTTAGTGCTGAAGGAGGAAGGGCAGGCCCACTCGGGAAAATGCAGGAGGCTGGGGGCCGACCGTGAGGTCACTTGCGGCTTTGCTGGTGCTCGCTGGGCACCTGAAGAACTCGTGGTCCCCTCAAGGAGGAGCCCAGGAAAAGAAGCTTTGAGAGGGGAAGAGACCCCGGTTCGGATGGATTGAGAGCGAGAGCCAGCAGCCTGGGGATCCCCGTGCACGCTGGCCCGGCTCCCACCTCGCGTGGGTTCTGGCGGCCGCTTCCTAGCGCTTGTCCCAGACTCGCAAGAGCGACCCCAAGGACCCCGAGGTGAAACCGGTCCCCGCCGTCGGGGCGTGCCCAGGGTCCGGCGCCGCTTCCCAGAGCGCCGAGCGAGGGCCGCTGCTGCCCCCTCGCGTCCGCCCCGAGCCCGGACAGGAGCGTGAAAGGCCGGCCCCGTGTTCACGCCGCCAGCTTCCACCCGCCTGCGGCGGGAGAGGCGGCCCCGAAGCGCAGAGCAGGCCTCGGTGCCCGGACCTCCGCAAGCCTCCTCCTCCGTGGAGCCCAGGCCGCGCGCGCGGACGCGTGTGGAGGGAGGACACGCGCAGGAGCCAGCGGGGGCCCGAGCACAGGGCGCAAGCGGAGGGCTGCGCTCACACGTGGACAGTAGTGGGCTCCACGGGGTGGGTGGCGAGAGGTCCGGGAGGGAAGCAAGGCCCGGGAGAAGGGAGGGAGCAGCGGAGGCACCGGCCAGCTGCCCCGCCTGGGGACAGCGTGGGCGGCGCGCCAGGCCGGGACGGGACCCTTAAAGCTCCGAGAAAATGCCCTCGGCGCCGCGGGGACGGGCACAAGTGGACTCGGCGCCTGGAGAAAGCTCCGGCCTTCCCCGGGAGCTGGAGGGTGGATTTGAGCTCAGGCGGTGCGGTGGCCTGGGGCCCCGAGGCTTTGAACTTTCCTTTCGGTCTGGGGTAGTTTGAGGCCTTGGTTCGCAAACTCACGCCTCTCCGGCCGCTGCGCACACTCAGAACGCGGCGCGCTGCGTAATCGAGCCGCAGCCCCGCCGCAGGGGGGACGACACTAAAGAAAGCAACTTCGCCAAGAAGACGCTGAAAACCCCAAACTCCTGCGGCGGAGCCGCGACTGACCGCGTCCAAATGACTCGGTGCCACTTGGCCTCAGCTGTCAGCAGGCCCAGGGAGGCGCCCAGACCCTCTTCCTCCCGGCCAGCAGCCCTCCGGCCCCCTTGCGGCCGAATCCCAGCTCCTGGGGCGCTGAGGCTTGGCCTGGGGACGGCCGTGGCGGAGAGCGGGCCTGGCCGGCCACTGCAGCGCACGGCTGGCCGGGCACCGACCCGGGATGCTAGCCCGGGGTCCCGGAGCCTCGCGATGGCCGCTACGCGTCTGTCCAGGGAGCGCAGGGCGTCTCCCTCCCGCGGGTCCCCAGGCCCGGGCTTCTCCGGACGAAGCTCGTGGTCCCCGACCAGACCGGTCTTTCGATCCCTGTGTTGGGCTCTCGGGACCCGTGGCCGCCGGTGGCGCCCCTGAGCCCCGCAGACCCACCCAGAGCGAGCGCAGCAGGACAAGCCCGCGCGTGGCTGCCCGGCGAGGTGGGGTCTGCGCCTGGGCCGGGCTCCGGGCAAGCGTGGCAGCGTGCGTGCGGGCGTGTGTGTGCGCGTGGGCCCGCGAGGGCGCGGGAGCAGGGGGCTGCCACCCGGTCCCGGCCGGGCCGCGTTCAGTAGCGCGCGGGGGCGCGCGGGCCGACTGCCGGAGCGCGGCAGGCGGCCACGCCCAGCCTGATACCGGAAAGGCCTGTGATTGGCCGCCGCGCGCCCCTATGCAAACGAGCTGAGGGAATGGAATTCCTCGGGCCGGGCTTACAGTAAAAGCACGTTCATTTCCAGGCACTCTCATTCATAGAGCCAGCGGGCGCGGGCAGCACGGGCCCCCGGGCCGACCCAGCCAGGGCTCCACGCCGCCCCGGCCCCGCCGCTGGCGCTTCCGTCCTGACTCCCGGGGACGCGAGGAAGTCACCCTCTGCGGCTCCTCCTCGACCTGCGTTGGACCTCCTTGTTTGCCTTTCCTTTCTTTCTTTTCTCTTTTCTTTTCCTTTTTCTCCCTCACTTTTGAATGAACCGGCTGCTGGGCTTGGATGTTGGATGTTTCAACTTCTCTCCTGGCTGTGAACTTTTTCTCCGACTGTTTCTCTTGACAACCGCGGGAGAAGGCGTTCCGGGCTTGCAGGCGAGCGGCGAAGTTGCGTGTGCGTGGCGGAGTGCGTGGGAGTGAGCGCAACCGCGTGTCCCTCGAGCCCCGGTCTGCCGTGCGTCCTCCCGGGCCGCTCCACCTGCTGCGGTTACACGGTGCTCGCTCGTGGGCACTGGTGCGCCCCGGCAGAAAACCAGCCAGCGCCCGGCCGACGCTGGAGGAAGATCATCTTGCCAGAGTCTGGGCTGACTCACTCAACCAATGTAGACAGTGGCTGGCTTCCGAAGAGTGCGAGTCTGCCCAGCCGCGGCTCAGTTCCCACCAAACCACAGGACCAGCCGCAAACTTACCCGGCCTTCCCAAACCGAGTCCGCAGCTGTGGGGGCTCTACCCCGAGGGTCGTCGAGTTGGCTTTTTGCTTTTTCTTTTTTCTTTTCTTCTTTTTCTTTTTAATGATTAGCTAGGGGTCTTTGGAAAGCTAAATTTTCTGCACGGGCCATTTGGCCAAGAATTTATTCCGAGAATAATGACAAGTGATTCTATCCCGGCCTTCCAACTACTGAAGCTGATTTTCAAGGCTATTTAAAAAAAAAAAAAAAAAAACCTGCAGCAAACATTAATGGATTTCTGTGGTGTTTAAATTCTCTACAGATTGCATTGTAAATATTTTATGAAGTATATCGTACGTATATATTTATATAGGCGAGCACATACAGTAGTAGCACAATCTTTTAAAGTTGCGGCTCTCGCTTTTGAGAAATCAAGTGAGGGTTTTTTTATTTTGTTTTGTTTTGTTTCATGATAAGAGGGGCGCCCTGTATGGAAGACACTCCTAAGTTTTGTATTTTGTTGAGACTTTAAACAAAATTGACCTGCAAGAAAGAAAAACAAACTGACAGGCAATTCACTGCTGGAACTTCCAAATCTAGTTTTTTGCGGGTCATTTTGTTGTTGTTCTGCGCATAAATATTTTAGGTCGTGTACGGGAATTTTGCCTCCGGGACCATTTGTAATAGCCAAAGACTGAACTTCAACTCTCAACGCGAGGCTCCTTTGGGCATATTTGACTTTGGATTCTGGTTGCTCACTTTCTGATGCACTAAGCGGCGAGTTGCTAGCCCTGCTCGGGTGTGAGGCCACCCGCCTAACGAGGGCTCAGTCGGGACTGTTGGTAACTTAGGCTCCCTCCTCCTCCCACCGCCCTCCGGTAGCAATAAAGGCTCCTGAACTTGTATGTTGGTCTCCCGCGAGCTGCTGGCCGAAGATCCGAGCCCGCGTCGCCGTGTAGTGGGAGCTGTTTTCAGGGTCCTTACTCAGTCGGCTTGTTGTGATGCGTATCCCCGTAGATGCCAGCACAAGCCGCCGCTTCACGCCGCCTTCCACCGCGCTGAGCCCCGGCAAGATGAGCGAGGCACTGCCGCTGGGCGCCCCGGACGCCGGCGCCGCCCTGGCCAGCAAGCTGAGGAGCGGCGACCGCAGCATGGTGGAGGTACTCGCCGACCACCCCGGCGAGCTGGTGCGCACCGACAGCCCCAACTTCCTCTGCTCCGTGCTGCCTACCCACTGGCGCTGCAACAAGACCCTGCCCATCGCCTTCAAGGTACTCCGGCCTGGAGAGGGTGGCGGGGGCTGGAGAGGACCAGGTAGAGGCCAGCCGGTTCCCAGAGCGAGCGAGCGAGCGAGCGAGCCTGGAGGGCAGAGGCTAGCGGCTTCTAGAGAGGGGTGCTGGCTGTAGAAGCCCCTGGTCCTTTTCACCGAGTTCGGGAGGTGGAGACGCTGCGTTGCCGTGGCGACCCTCGGCAGGGTCCCACCCTTAGCCAGCCTCAGAGCCATCCAAGAGGGAGTTTTAAAATTCTTTAGGATAATCCCAGAACATCTACCAAGGGCCTTACCTTTGCTACCAGCTAGGAAAAGTTACATTGGAGTTGACAAACCTATCTTCTCTGGTGAGGACCCGGGACCCCGGATGAACACCCAGACCGTTCTGTATCTCTCAGATGAAGGCATCAGGAAATAAAAGGAGAGATGCTTTAATGCCTTCCGGTCAATAAGGAAAGATAAATAAACCAACAAGGGAAACCGCCAGGGATCCCACCCGCTGCCGCCTTGCTTTTTTTTTTTTTTTTTTTAACCTCCCTATAGGAATCAGCGTGTCCAAAGTCCACGGCAGGCGTAGTTAAGTTTGCCAAAGTCCCGAGGATTTTTTTTTCGAGCCTGTAACCTTCTCCTGCCAGAAGCCTCAGGTAGGGAATCCTGTTGCTTTTTCTGGAGCCCTCCGGAACGTTATCGCTGGCTCAGCTAAATTAAGCCCTGGGCAAGAAGGGTGCCGGTGCCCGGGGCCTTCCGACCCCTGGAAAAGTGCGATCCCGCAGCTTTTCTGTTAGAGGAGGGGGCCCTGTAGACCCGGCAACTTCAGATGGGCGCCTCACGTCGGTCTGGTCGCTTTTCACCCTGACCTTGCCTTGGCTTTGAGCTGCCTCCAAAACTTGGCCTTCAGAAGCGATATATAAACAACCCCAGGCGTTTTTGAAACAAGCACCCTACTACTCTGGCAGGGAGCTGGAGGAATTTAGGTTCTCTTCTTTGGTCTTCTGCGGTGGTGGGTTTTAAAAGGTACAGCTGAAAAGCGAATTGACTCTGTCAGGTCCTGTTCTTTTAAAAGGCTGATGAAGGCGGGAGATCCAAGCGGTAAAGCAAAACTATAAGCGCTCTCTCTCTCTTTCTCTTCCAATTTAGCTGAATAATTGTCCCATTTAGAAGGGAGAGTAATTTAATTTAAGCTTTTCGTAGTTCCAGGCCTCAGCTGAAAGTTGATCTAATTACAATGAATAACGCTCACTTTTTGAAAAGCGCTGTTGAGTTCCTTTTTTATGCTAACAACACCGTCCACGTTTTTAAAATCACAGAAGTAGAATTTCTAATCGGCTCCGTCTATACAATATATCCTTTACCACTGTTTTGAAGGCAACTTTTTAAGGGGGGAAAGGTGGGATTGAGGGTCAGAAAGGCAGCCAGGCACTTGGAATTCCCTTCCCTTCCAGTTATTTGGGAAGCCATCCCAATTCCTTTAGGAAAACAAATTTAGCTGCTGATGTGTTCTGCTTACCCTGAAGGAACCTGACTGGGCTCAGGCTCACTATAGTCAACCGTGGGCCATTCAAGTGGGTTTCCCTGCATAGCAGAGCTAAAGGGACCTGTGGCTTTCTTGTCGGAGAAACCGGGGTCTTTCCTAAGCTGCTTTTTCTTTCTGCCAGGAAACCCCAGTTTACCAAGACACTAAATGATTATATATATATATATATATATATATATATATATATATATATGTATATATATATATATATATATATATATATATATATATATCTTCAGGAGTTGAAGTGATTCAAAGTCTTGAGCTACCACATGGAAATATTTATTTTCTTATAAAAGAATGAAAGACCATACATATTACTTTTACAAACCACGGAACATTCCTTTTAGCAAAAATAATCACAGCCATAAAGGTACCCTTTTATAAATGATTTTGGCAAACCCGCTTCTCAAAGAATCTCAGTTTGTTTTCCTGAGTGACAGCCAGTAGCTATGACAAAGGTCAAGGCACAGACAACACAACACGTGTGAAAGGTTCAAGTGGGTCTCCTGAGAGTGCTTGGGGAAAGGGACAGGGAAGCAGGAAAATCAGACCACTAGATTAATATCTGTCACCACTCCGTCCCCCTCTGTCCCTCAGAGGGAGGCTGCTTCAAGGAGCTCAGCACCCTGCTGACCCGAGACAGCAGAGAGAAATTTCACAGGGAGGAGAAATCTAAAGGTTGGGGTTAAGAGGAAACAGCACTTCCAAACAGAAAAGTGCCCTAGCTGCCTTTGCTCTGGATCCCTGGCCCTCTTTGTGCCAGCCCCTACCAAACACGCTGCGCAGTTTCTATCGAAAACGTTTCTTTACATTTTACATTTGAAGTAAGACCCAGGGATCTCTGTAGGGACTAACCCTGCAGGAATTATCCTATTCCCTATGATAAAAACCAGATTGTGGGAAGCAGTGTTCCAGGCAGAGCACTAGTGGGAGAGCATCTTCTGAAATCTTCCGACATTTTAAGTCGTCCTCCCTCCTATCCTCCACCTACAGATCACGGATCATAGCATAGGAGAAACATTTAATTTCACTGCTAGAAACTGGGAAGTCTGCTGCGTGCTTATGCAGTATTTTGTTGTTTAGGTGACTTGCAGTTGGTTTTGTCAAATTGTAATAGTGCAGCTTGTCTAGGCCTGGTACCCCAGAGCCCAAAGATATAAATATGCCTTCATCTGGAAGTTTAAAGACCGTGGATGCTGACGGAATCTTTTTTTTTTTTTTTAATTATAATGAACAAATAAATGTTTCTGGAAGGAGGATCATGGTCACTGGGATGCTGACGGAATCTTTTTGTTTTTTATTAAAATAAATAAATAAATGTTTCTGGAAGGAGGATCATGGTCCCTAGCTGTGCATTAAATGTCATCTCAGATGAATTCTAGGTTCCAACCCACAACCACCTTTGAAACTCTGGAAGATTAAGAAATTTACAGCAGTATAAAAGAGTTGTAACTGTAATTTCAGCCCGTAAAATTGTTGGAAAATGCCAGTTTCAAATCATGAACAGACTGGCCACGAGCAGTACTGGGAAGTCCTTATAGCAGAGAGCACAACTGATATTTTGCTCAACTTCCTGATACTTAGAGAACAGAGAAGTCCAACAAAATGTGAGCTATCTTTGACCAGCAAGTCCCTTCTTGTCTGTTTGGTCTGCGCTAAATGTAAATGTTTGTCTTTCCTTACCTATTGTTTATAGCTTTTTATTGAAGACGCTGCTCTTTATTTCTGTATGAAGTTAGATTATTTTCATTCTTTTTTATCCTCTCTCAATGACAAATCTGTATCAAATTGGAAGACATCTTAGTTTTAAATAAAAAGTGATATTAACCTAGTCTAAGTCTGCTTGTCATCGGATGACATGCAGTACTAATCGTCCCTGGATTTGACTTGTCTCCTCTTCTCCACCAAAACTCTTCGGAGATAAATCAGAAAGCCAAGAAGTGATAACTGAGCTTCTGGATGTCCCATTCACACTTCCTTTAAAAATGGGAGTGATGAAATTTAAACTCCTGGTTTTTAGACTTTTGCATTCCAACACAAACAAGCTTTCCTTAGTTACCATGGTCCTCTCATGTCTGTGTCTATTGCTGAGGACTTACTGCTTTGGCCCTCTCATTGATGGGGTGGCACTGGAGCTATAGTGGTAAACCGAGGCATAGTGGAGAAGGGGGGAAGAACCATGACTCAGCATGCCTTTGGGTGCTATGGAACAGGATGTATTTATTTTAACCTCTTAAGAGATACAGGCTCCAACAGTGAGGTGTTCAGTTTGGAAGCCCAGCTGTAGAATCAATGCCCGAGATGCCCTGTGGGTGTTGAGTTGAACTAGAAAAGCCTCTGTCTCCACAGGGAGATGAGGGTGAGGAAGTGGAGGGTGTTTGTGGAGGGCATTTCAACACTGTGAGCTAATTGTGCAGAGGGAAGTGAGAATGGTGAAAAAAGAAATGGGGGGAAATAGAGTGAAAACAGCATAATCTATTGGAGTAGAATTTTGTAGGAGTAGAAAGGAAGGGCAACAATTATCAATTAACTCATCAGGAGATTTGTTTCAGTGATGCTCTTGGAAACAAAGGAGTCTTCATATTACCACTCTTACTTAGTGGCCATCGAACACCTGTGGCAGGGTGGGCGCATCTAATTGCAGGTTGCTTGGAGAATCAGGGTTTTCAAATCTCCTTTCTGGAAAGCACATCCAATAACTGGAACGAAAGGGTTAAAAGCAGAGGCAAGAGGCTGGCCCTTGTTTCATGAAGGAAGTTGATTACAACACATAAAATTAAAGAGATAGCAAGGTACTTACCCAGTACCAGAGAGCAGTGTCCTGCTGATGTCCTGGGGTCCCATCTGTCCATTTCTCAGGGCAGCTGGGGTAATTTCCTAGCATGTTCATTAGAACCCAGGAGAGGGAGCAGCCACAGTGAATAAAAATCACCCAGATAGACATCTGCAGGACAGCGGAAGGGGACATGACTAAGCACACACACACAGAACTGGACATTAATACCAGATTAGGAAATCTGTAGTGGCCTTATTTACATACATAGAGAAGAAGGAATATACCTCCTTCTAAATTATGCAGCAACTAGAATGCAAAAAATGGAAACCAAAGTAGCAATAGATTAAGAAATGTTTGCTGCTGCCAACGTGAGGACACCCTCCTAAGGACGACCACGCAACTGGGATAAATAACACAAATTTCAAAACAGACTGACAACACGTGTCCGAAATGTCTAGGGCAAACTGAACTCGAAACTTTAACTTGAAATTCCAGGACCACTTCTAAAACAGAACAAAACAAGTATGACCAATCAATAATCAAGTCAAAACTCAAAAACACTGCCGAAGTCAAAGGACACCGGGCTTGGTGGTACACACCTGTAAGCCCTGACCTCACAGGATAAGACAAGAGGATTGTGAGTTCAAAGCCATTCTAGGCTATATAGTGAGACCCTAGCTCTAAAACAAAATAAAAAGAATCCAGTAGCAGCCAAGCAATGGGTAATATTTTGTGAAGCAAAATATTATCAAGGCATGGACTATAGAGTGTTTTAATCCAAAATTAGTATTTGGTTTTCTGGATATAAAACCTGCTGTCTGCTGTCCTGATTCTATACATATAGATAACTATAGATATCCACCAGTTATCTTCAAAATACAGTAAGCTGTTACCTTCTCAATGACAATAAAGGAACCCCTCAGAACACAGTTCATACCTGTTCGGGGATCACAGATTGAAGCTGCAGCCTGGTTCCATCTTTGATTTGGGGAGAATGATTAAATTGGAACTCCCTTTGTTACTGAGGTCATCCGTTTTGCAATAAATAATAAATAAATGGCACATTTCTGGTTTTTCTCCTTGAATTCGAGGGTTCACTGCTAGTGTGAATCCAATAGAGGCAGGAAGAACGGAAAGTCTTTCCAGAATCACCATTGGAAGCTGTGCACACACAGTAGCGCGCGCGCGAACACACACACACACACACACACACACACACACACACACACACCAACACTTGTAGGGCAGGGACAGGAAGATCAGGGGATTCAAGGTCATTCTCTGTTACACAGGGAGCTTGGGGCCAGCCTGGGCTACATGGAAGAAAATCAGTAGCAAAGTCAGATTTAAGTTTAGCAGAACTAAGTTTAGATACTTACATCCAGGCTCTGTTAGGTACGCCTATGGAGGTCCAAGCAAGTAAAAGATGGGCCAGAGGGATGGCTCAGTAATTAAGAACCATAACACATGGTGCAGAGGACGGGTTCTGATTTCAGAACCTATGTCAAGGGGCTCACATCTGCCTATAGTTCCAGTTCCGGGGTGCTCTGATGCTTCTGGCCTCCAGTGGCCCTGCACTCAAGAACATACACTTAAGTTTAAAATAATAAAATAAATCTTTTTTAAAAGGTGGATTAGATCACAAATCTACAAACACAGGACTTTCCGTCTTTCAAATATGAGGTCTTAAGCGATAACTATATTGACAAGAAACAAAAGCGTCTCAGAGTCCCTGTTCTCGTTAGTCTTGTTCCCAGTGTGTTGTGTGGCCCTGTTTGGCTTTCTTTGTTTAATTTCATCAGTGCTTTCCACATTTGAAAATCTGTACCCACCTATGCATTGCAGAATTACCAGCGGGCCTTGTCTGTGTGATACTCAATTCTTCTAAAGACCAGAAGTATTATTTAGCATATGTTTAATTTTGGAAGCATTGCCACAGAAACGACACAGAAGTGTCTATGACAGCTCTGATGTCTGCATTTGTCCCTTGGCTGCTGTCTAGGTGGTAGCGCTGGGGGATGTTCCGGACGGCACTCTGGTCACCGTCATGGCAGGCAATGACGAGAACTACTCAGCAGAGCTGAGGAATGCCACCGCAGCCATGAAGAACCAAGTGGCAAGATTCAACGACCTCAGGTTTGTCGGTCGGAGTGGTAGAGGTACGTATCTGTCACAAACGAGCCTGAAAAGCAAACCGTCTACCTGGGAACAAACCCAGGCTTTCCAGCTAAGAGCAGTTCCTTTTATTATTGATGCCGCTCAAAGCTTTAAAGTAATGTTTATTTGGAAATTAATGCTTCTGCAAGAGTCTAACTTGATACTATCACATTTGATGGCTAAACTGGCTTAAGACTGACTTGGAACGCACAGCATACAAAACATGAATTGTGGATTTCAGTAAAACCCTTCAGCGTTTTTCTACAGTGAGAACTGAGGTCATGCAACAGGCCGACACTGTGGGGTCATCGACGCCCATGAGGCTTCAGCAATGGTGATGTGCTTTCTGCTGACAATCGACAGGGTTTCGCTTGGTCACATCAGTAATTTTGGAGAATCCTTATAGTATATGATGTAGTTTTAAGCAGAGTAAGTCTTCCAGGATAAAATACGGAATTGTATTAGTACGACTGAGAGCAAGTTGACCATCATGATATTTTCCTCTTGAAGCCTGTTATGGTTTGGCAGGAAGAGGGGCTCACTTAAGGTTTAGATGCTAATCCTATGAAAGACCAGGTCATTCAAAGAAGCCATCACCTTAGCCCAGGTGCACATGCAGTTTTCTTCTTCACCAGTTCCTGACATTTTGGAGTAGAAACAGGAATTTATCTCCCGTGGGTTTCGCTGCTTTCCAGTTATCTTTCAAGTGTTGTGTTTTTTTCTCCATTTCCTACGTCACATTTTACAAATGTCAGCAAGTAGTGAAAGTGTAAGAGCGAGGGGAGTCTGTCTAAATTTCCCCTTTTACAATGTAGGGTTGAACAAGCTTAGCCACAAAAGGCATTTCCAGCTTAAACAAAAAGACATGATGTCTATCTAAGTAGTAGTATCAGTTCTTGCATTGGAAAAGAAACAGGAAGGGGTTGGAGATGCTCCTTAGCCCTTGCTTAGCATGTGCAAGATCCGGGGTTTGGTCCCCAGCACCAAGCAAACAAAACAAGCAGACTGGCAACGGGTAGAAAATATCAAGCTAAGGCCATTGCTACTGTTTGTGAAGTCCTTCAAAGCCATTAGAAAATCTCTGTCCTTCATGGAAAGGTGGGGAGGTTAAGCTGTATTTCTCACCAGAGATGTCCAGGGCATTTTCATAATGAAATCACAGCTGGGTAAAAATTAAAAACATATAACGTGATTGGAAATACATGTTCCCATTACTATGCTAATAATAGCGGGATTCAGAGAAAAGTCCATCCACTTCTTGGAAGGCTGGACGATGCTGTGAAGCCGCTATCATTAAGTGGGTTCACTGGAAGATCCGTCTTTCAGCAAATGGAATTTGCATTACGGTTCTGAGACACATGTTTAGAAAACATCGTGAGGGTTTCAGATGACCTGCTGGCAAAGTGGGTGGGAAGCCAAGAGGAGAGGAAGACCCCGTAGCCAGGCCCACACCGGCCTGCCCAAGCAGTAAGCTGGGCCCGCTGCTTTTAGGACTGGCTAGCTAGGTTAGCCCTTGGTTGCCAGGGAAGGTGTGGCTACTCTCATGCGAGTGCGAGTGGGTCTGTTTGGCGTTTCTGGCTATGGACGTTCTGAAGATTATTACGGCCTGTTCCAGTGGCAACTTCCGCGCAGGGAATTGTGTGGTGCCGAGCTGATGGTAATGATGAGGGGGCTTTGGACAGCAGCATGCTTGCTCTGGGGTGCTGAGAGCTGATCTCCCACCCTCTTTGGTCATTTCTGTTTTGAGTGGGTGACTAATAGGTGCTGGTGTTTACCTGAGGAACGGCCGACTGTTTCCCCAAGGTGTGGACTGTTTGCATTCTGCTGCCTGATTCGTGCCAGCGTGCACTTGAGTGTGCATAAGCCCCCCAAGGGAAACAGCAGCACCCAAAGCCAGGCTGTCTTCCCATACCCTGGAATGAGAAAAATTAATCAGATGGAAAAAAAAAAACAAAACAGATTATATTTGACTTGAACAGGCTTTCCTCTCCATGAGTGATAATAAGTAATTAAAACTCAGGAGCACTAATTGACCACTTGACCCAGTTACATTTTCTGTTTTTGTTGTTGGTCTTGAGTTTCTATGGTTTAAATTTTTTATGTCAATAATACAAGACAAGTGAGCTGCCAGGGGATTGAACATGGTTTTATCTCATAATTTCACTTCACAAAATATGATTTCATTTTGCTTTTTCATACCAACATCAAAGCCCGCTGGATTTTCTCCCTCTTTCTGGCTCTCTCTCTCTCTCTCTCTCTATCTCTCTCTCTCTCTCGATTTGCCTCCCATTAGAAAGCAAAAAGACGACTCTCGCTAATTCTCACAATTAGCCCTAATCTCCCTGGCTGAGTCTTATCCTTTAAAAGTTTCATTATGTTTTATTGAGCAATCTTAAGACTCAACTGTTTCATTTTCTTTTTTTTTTAATGTGCCTTTTTAAAAAAAATGTGCCTTTAAAAAAAAAAATGTGCCTAAAAACTTCAGCGGCCACACACTGGCCCAGAAGTTTCCGGCCTTTCACCAATACATATGTGTTGTATGTATTGGGTTTTGGGTTCTGTCAATGATGGCTTAGCTGAGGAGCCCGGGTGATCACAGTGGGAGGAAAGTAGGGAAGATATGAAAGGGTGCCCCCTTTCTCTTACCAGATGACAGATTCGGGGGACTGTGACCCTCACAGAAACTGCCAGCTCTAACCACGAAGGATTTTTCTCTGTTCCAAGAAATGGATCAGGCTGGGTGCTGGCTCATGGCCAGCACCACAGCGCCTAACCTCAGGTTCAGCCTGTGACTGGGAGAACCTGCCTGTCTGGCTTCTAAGGCCTGGCTGCCTGCTGGCCGCCGTGCAGAGTGGTGAAGGCCCAGGCAGCTCGGCCTTCTTCCTCTGTGCCCATGGCTTCCCCTTGCTCTGAGGTAGTATAGATCTTGTCTGGGTGTATCTCCCCTGGGAATATCTCTCCCTCTGTTCCTGATCCACACGTTGATTAACATAGTGGCTATCCAAAGGAAGAAGAGAGAGCCAGTTGGGGGCAGGGGGTGGTGGTAAGAAGAGGACCCTCTGACATCCACTCAAGACGGTGGCACTCAGGTGAATGTCCATAACAACATTCATTTTAGTCACAGGCCTGAGAGTATCACTCGCCTCCAAGTTCAGGATCAACAAGAAATGTCTTTCATAAGATTGATTATTTGAGCATTTTTCTGTCTCTTAACTGCAATTGGTCTGTTCCCATGACAAGAGAGCTTCTCCCCACATAAGGTGACAGCCAGCTAAGAAACTCTAGCAGTGACGGCTGCAAACACCTTTTCCCTGCTGGAGTATTTTACCAGGCGTCAAAGAACTGACCCACTAGTGAATATAGCGTGTTTTATTTCACTGGGCACCAAGGCACACAGCTACCAAATGTAACAGTAACTGTGTTGCAAATGGAAGGAGGGAAACCAAGGCCAGTTTCCATTTGTTCTAAAACTGTGATTTAATCTTTGGGAGATGTCATAGATAATTCTGAAAACTCTCCCAAAGACATGCCAAGGCCCAAAAGAATGCACAGGTGCCCAGATTTCTGTGTGCAGCTTAGTTTCCAGAGTTTGTTTGTAGATCCTCTGGGATGAATGGGTGCCAAAATGGGTGAATTTGAAATGTGTCTTTGAGTGTAGAGGGTCAGCTCAACACCAAGTTTTACACACAACGGATACCCAGAAAATAAACACGCAGGAGAATACACAAGGTGGACACTTAACTTGTGAAGTGCTATCCTTGGACTTAGGATCTGGCTGGTAGGGGTTTGGTAGCCCAGGCTAGCCCAGGCCTTCAGTGGCCACCAGGCATATTGGTGAAAGTGAGTGATCCTGGCGAAGACAGTACGGTATCTTCCCTAGTGACCTTCAGCCCTGGCTGTTGCGACTCCAGGACCCCGAGGAGCCAAGTGTTCCGTTGCCCCATCAGGAAAATGTTTCATTTCTTAGTGGAATCTGCTGTTTGCATTTACGCCCTGGCAGCCCAGAACTTGCCCATTTTGAAAATAGTGCTTTACTTTCCTGGAGTCTCTCGGTAGACGTCTTCCCAGACATAATATTTATCCTGTCACAATCTGGGCTCTCACATATTTGTGTACTGTCGGTTTCTTAAGGCATTTCCATTCCCCTTCTACATGATTTGGGGTACAGTATGGGAATGTTGTCTCTTGGCTGAGCGGAAGGCTGTGGCAGAGACGCATTTCGGGAAGGATAAACTGTCACTCTGAGCCAGGAGGACGAGGAGGGCCGTCTTCCTGCACCGACTTTTACCAGACAGTTGGCCTTAGTGACTCACGATGTTATCATGGAATCCATATCATTATTTGATCAAAATTCATTTAATAGAGAAAGGAAATATCCAACCCCAGCCCCAGAGATGCTTCATAAAGAGCATTCCATGTACACAATAGACCCTGGCAGTTGAGTCTCCCAGAGAGAATAAGTAGAAGGAAAAGATGTGAGTTGAGTTAAAATCAAATGCCCACTTTTCTTTCTGGTTTTTGGTCTACAGTACATGTAATAACAACACATGTAATAAAATCAGTTCTCTTCGGATTTAACTGTGAATAAATAGGGATGAAACAGAACGAAACAAAATAAAAGCCAAACAAAACTGAACAAAGCCAGGGCCTTCCGAGAACAAGCCCCAGCCGGTCCGAACAAACACTTCCTGTCCACGGCAGGTCACAGGCTTCACCCCGGAATTGATGGGAATGACGCAAAATCTGCCTTTGCAGATCAGATTTCCCCTTCTCTTTCTTCTACAATAAAAGAGTTAGCAACACTTTCCTGAAGCAAGTTTTTCCCCCGACCAGCTTAAAGCCCAGGTGGCAAGGTGGCGGAGCCCATCCTGAAGCAAGTTTTCCCCGACCAGCTTAAAGCCCAGGTGGCAAGGTGGCAGAGCCCAGCAAGGACCAGGAGCTGCAGTCTCTGCGCTGCCCCTGCTGGAAACCATAGTGTCCGCTCTGTCCCTCCAGGCTTTCC